GAGAGGACGGAGCATTGTTCCCACAGGACCAATCACCGATGGCCAATCGTTCCTTTCTACTTTGCCAAAGGTGGCTCAAAAATGTCTTCCCTAGTCCGTCTGTCATAACGATATCCCTTCCCGACTTTTCAACCCACCTCCTATGCCCCAGTACAGCTACCGTCCTTTCCTCTCTGTTCCATTCCTCAAACATCTTCCTGTACGTCCCATCAATTTTCCCCAGCTCAGTCACGCACACTTCCCTCTCCTTCTTGTACCACGGACATTCCGCGACTACATGAACACGGTCTTCGCATTCAAAGCCGCAATCACATTTGAACTCGTTGTCTTCGTCGTCTAACGTCCCATGTATTTGTCGACGTACCGCGGGGGGTTAGCTTTTTTTTATCAACGCTACCCCGGGGGGTTGTGCAAAATTAAGATGGTCCACATGCCACACAGAGAGAGAGCTGCGAAACTGAGATGGATTAGGTTTACGAGCAAGCGTTCAACAAGCAGGGGAAAGAGGAACGTAAGAGCAACGAAGGCGAAGAGAAACAAGACAGCAAGAGGTATCATTGCCTAAGCTCATGCACAAGAATTCGCAGTTTGTCCCCAGGAATAAGCTATTTTTATGGTTCGGTTCTACCCTGAGTCAGTTGTGACATCCAAATATGAAATCCAAATATGAAAACGATTATTTTTTCCCTTTGTGCGCAATATTCCGTCAGCATGCTATGGTACGCTTCAGCTGACTCCAGGGATGAAAAATGCAACAAATAGACAAGAAAACGAAAGCATTTCACCCATAAAACAACGGCGAGGGCCAAGGGACAAACGGTACACCTAAATCTCGCTCGAAGCAAGATCTGCAAATGAACGAATTTTCCGTTCCATATCATGCTTTTGCACTCCGCGATGCAACAAAATCGGCTCAGAAAATAAGGGAAATACATCCATCCCTCCCGGGGGGGACTCGTGGGAAACTGGTACCCCGGGGGGACATTAAAATAGCCGGGGACATTATTTTTTTGTCGAAAACGATCTACCCCGGGGGTAAATCAACGAAACCATGCTTCCAAGCCGCAAGGTAATGGGGGGGGGGGACTCTACTAGGGGGGGAAATTCCGCAATTTATGTTACGTGTATTTTTTTCACCCGGCGCTATCGGCTCTCCGTGGTCCATTTATTTTCATCCTCTTTGCGTGTTGCGGTGCATGAGTGGTTTTCTTAAGACCAGTGGTAGGAGGCCTCCACAATAGGTCGGGGGACCACCACAATGTTAGTCATATTGTTTAAGTACAAATATGGATGAAACTGTCGGTGTTTTAATACCTTGAGGCATTTCTTGGGATAGGATCCGTCTCGGCCTGCCGAAAGGTGAGCGTGAATGTTCCGTTCGTGGCCTGGCACCTGTAACCAAACAAGAATATCGTAATATCAAACTCTGCGCGCGGGGTGGGGTTTGTTTCTCCGCCGATGACACCAAGTTAACGTTGACGTGCTCGATGCCCGGAGGTTGACTCGAATTCGTGTCGAGATACACACTATTTCAGCGTGGGACACGACGCAGAGCCAAGGGGTGCTCACGTCATGGTTTGAACTTCAGGCTCCTGCCCCCAGCTTCCAGGATCATCTCCTACAGGGCATACTCTTTCAGAACAGTCGTATCCTGAGTAGCCGTCGTCGCAGTAGCACCTTTGTCGGGCGGCGGGTGGCATGGCGAATGATTAACGTGTGTCCAAACGGAGTCGTTTGGGACGGATGGGGTCGGATTCTACTTGACGTGCGATGTCTTCACTAAACCGTACAATGCCACCGAAAAAAGTACTCCACACTGCCGTTGGGTTGTACGTCTACACATCCTGGTCCCGTGGAAGATACACGGCTCGTATCTCCGGCAGTCTCTCTTGCTGATACCGAGTTCTTCGCAATATCACCTAGAGCCTTACCGGCATCCCTTCGACCTAGAACATACTAAAGCAATACGGTTCGACCCGTGGCTTAGATGGTGAAGCCAAATTATCGAGGTCCCACGCAAAGCGATTCTTCCTGTCTTCTCGAATTCATGTTCCGCGGCATCGTTCCTTTTCGTGAGGCAGGTCGCACAACCCAAACTATATGGTCTTCCTGGGTTTGGTGAACTCTGTACTCTTTGAGGTGTTGTGACTCATGGCGACTCACGGCCTACGCTCGCACAGTGACGTTCCGTATCACACATCATTTCAACGTCCCTCGTGTGACGTGCTCTTCGTCAACCATCACGAAATCAGGCGAGAGCTCGTCGGGTTTCTTTGTTGAACACAAGCGCTTTGGCGATCGCCCATGGACTACATAAACCCAGACCTGCTTTCGAGCATCACATTGCTCACCGAGAACGATGGGTGTGAATCGTTCGTATCGGTTTGGTGTTGGTGGCTCACCCGAATATTCGGTGTGCATCCCATGTAGAGCCTTCATTAGGATCCTCCCCGTATGTGTAGTCCGTAGCATCACCGTTGTCTTCAGCAAACGTGGCCAGTTCGGCCATTGTCATACACCTATCGGACATGCACAAAAAGAGGGCTGTAGTTGCCAAGCTTGACCGGTTCAAAGTCGTACGTAGCCAGATATACAGTTTTTTTTAGAACTGCACGCACGCTGTGGTTGTTATGAAATTGACTGTGACAAGCGAAGTCGAGAACGATTGGTCGAATCCCGGGTAGACATCATGTGTTGCTGGTGTAGAGATCTTCATACTTGTGCATCAAGCCAACCACGAGGCAGCTGTGCACACCTCTTTCTTCCGATGTCTACTGCACTATGCATTCTCACCGCCCGTGGCCATGACACGCGTCCGTGGTGCCCCCTGGACATATCATATACTCGCAAGCAGCACCGTGAAACAGATCTGCACATTCGCAAGCTCCGGTCTCGCGGTTACAATATCCACCATCAGAGCATTCGGCGCGCTTATCGTGAGCCTTGTCTTCAGCACTGAGACGCAACCAAGAGGGCGCAGAAGAGATCAAACGCGCGAAGGGTATGGTAGCTGACAGCACTACCGGTGTTCTCCGTTCGAAGCCCTCTTGTCACCACAACGGCAACCAGGTATAGAAAGAAGGGAGTGCTGAGCTGTAAAATCGGTTAGGTGTGTACAGTTCCTTGCGACGGGCTGCGAGAATAAAGTACGCAGGCCGATCTTAGTTTTACGGTTCCCGTTGCTGTAAGATCGACTCGATCAGGGCATGGAGTACGGTGTTCACACTAACCTCGGGTAGCTGAACCAGCTCCAGCCATACGGACAAGCGCGCAAGGAGCAGTCTCCGGCGGTCCAACCATCGTTGCAATCGCACGTGAAATCGCTCTCGTCGCAGGTGCCATGACTGCTGCATGCGATCTCTCCCGGACATCCAGCCGTGGTAGTAACCTGGTATCCACAATCTCCGCGTGTTCCCGGGCCGTTGTACCTTCGAGTCACACCAATCAGGTGCGCATAGCGAGGGGCAACGGAAAAGGGCGGTGGCAGCATGGAAGGCAATAAGCTCGTGGCCTCGTCTTTATCAAGCGCTTCGTTCCCGGTTCGAGGCCGGCAATGTAGCTACGAATTACATCTTCTTGTCAGATCAACGGTTTCAGGGACAAAACGGGTTGGCTGGTCGCTGCTTCAAGCGAAGTACGCTGCCTCACGGGAGTCCAGCAAGTCATGAGATTCGCCGAAGTAGAGATACTTAAATATTCTCAAGAGCGACGCCTTGGAGTAACCCACAATACAACCGACAGGCCTGGCGGTAACCTATTATAGCCTTCAGGTTGGATTTTTCTCTACCAACTTACATGCGTCACCCTCTTCTTGACTCACCCGTCACTGCTAGCAAAAATGTCGTCGTTTGAGGTGAAACACTCGCAAATGCCCTCTTGGGTATCGCATATTCCTCGATTGGAACATTCTTCGTTCTCCTTGGTCCCCTTGACAGAGGTATACCTATTCCAGTGAGAAGGAGTCGTGAAGGACGTTGCCCGGCAGGACAAACACGTCAGCCTACTACTGTTGAAGAGTAGGTGAAAATACGGCGTGAGCGCCTGTTCCCGAGGTGTTAGCACGCAGCCAAGGTAGACGTTGCAGGTATGCAGCATGCCTTTGTCATGGTACTTCACCGGCCTACGAAATCCTCCTGTGTGTCGAACGTACCCGATCACGTCTGAATCGTAGATTGAGCTGCCGTCTGCAACGATGGTGAGGGTCGTTACGGAGCCTGCAGTGAGAGCGTTGAACGACCACATTGGCCGAAGGGGACCGAAGTTGCCCAAGAACTCCACCTGCGATCCGATTTGATCCAAAGATGCTGAACTTGAGAGAATGGAGTACTGCAGGACAAATTTCATACAATTATGCGTGAAAAGCTGTAATTGTTGTCTTCACATGTATAGAAGATCCTAAAACACATTGATCCTCGGAACTTTCCAGTCAGGATTTACTGTGGGTATGCGGTTGTAGGTGCTCTAGCCTGACTGACCGTCTGGGAGGACATCAGTGCGACAGGCAATATACGGACGAGTAGGGAGTATGTTCGTATTATGCTTGCTTGGACGCGGCCCAATAGCCTCGCTATCAAGCAAGAAGCCATACATACTGGAACTACTGTAGGCAGCAACGAGATGCAGCGTCACACGAAAGGCAGCAACAGCGAAGCATTGTCATGAGAAACCAAACCCCGAGAACACGTGATTTACCCAAGAAAACCAGGGCTGAAGATTTATTCTCTTTTTCCTCCAGGTTTCGTTGTGCCGTGATTACAGCAAGATCAAACATGACTGACCTGAATGACGTTGATGGCGGTGGAGCTACAAGCCCCACTGAAAGGGATTGAAAATTTAACGTTTACACCCTGGATATCTGGAATGGCCGATAAGGCAGACTCGATATCCGCCTCGCTGGCGTCATACAATATATCTGTCGTGGGATAGCCTTCGTAGTACAGCACAAATGAGCCCGCGGTAGCCTTCCTCGAGCATGCAAGCAGACGAAACGTACGAAAAGCAGTTGTGCGGTAATGTTTTGATGATGATCCACCTGCAAGAGCCCCATATATGTATCAGACGCTGATTTAGATTACTGCGGAAAATCTATATCTACAACACAGAGGATGCCTTTACGAGAGAGATCACGTTGACCTGCACCAAGCCAGATGAAGAGAGTGTACGTATAGTCTAAAGTGGATACGCCCATATGTGTTCCAGAAATCTATACCGCCAAACATTTGTTCGTATAGGTATCAACTTCGCACAAGACATCCAGTCTAGACTAGTCTAGACTTGCTCTGCCCGCCCTTGGTTATTGAACACTAGCCTATACTTTAGTAATGTCCGTATGATCTACTTCGTATGTACTTGTAGCCATTGCAGATAAAACGTTCGTCCAGGCACACATGATAGAATAAGGACGCTGAACTCTCACCTCGCATACAACAAGTTGAATTTCGTTGACTTGACCAGTCGTGAGTGGATCGTCTCCTGTCGGACAGCTACGCAAGGCGCAGTCGAACCCGTGATAGCCGGTGTCGCAAACGCAAGTGTGAAGCTTATCACTATCCCAAACCTGGCAGCAAAATCGAAGAAGCAGCGCCCTAGCGATGAGCAATAGTCTACACTAAATACGCCAAACATGATCATGATATCTATGATTTCACTCACTCGTTGAAACATGCTACCAAATGCTGTTGTGCAAGTTTCCGAGTCGGGATTTTCTCACGTCATCGTACAGGTACTGGATGGAATCGTCGCCCCGGTAGTCTTGCGCATAGTCGGACAAACTCCTGCAGTGGCCATGGCCAGAGCAACCTCGCGGGCAGTTGCTCCTTTCGCACGCGGCCCCGGAGAACCCAGTCATGCATTTGCACCTCCCCGCGGCACGATCGCATTCGCCACGGTTGGAGCACTCCACGACGCCATGAGCAGTATCGGTGGCCGTTGCCCGGTCACTCCACGCAATTCCAGTCGCGCACATGCGTTCCGAACAATCGGCCCCACCCCATCCGGCCCAGCAATCACATCTTCGCGCGTGACAAAACATTCACATACAGCCGTTTAGGAAAGCCGTCGATGTTCAGACGACAGTTGTACAACTGCAGTAGTTTGAGCTATTGCCGCACGATCCCGCGATACTTCGGGCCTATCGCAGATAGCTAGACTTTGCCCCGCAAGCTCCAAGAAGAAAGTTTGCTAGATACTGAATAATAACCGCACATGTTTTACCTTGCTTGAAAGTAACAAAGCTCACCTTCCAAAAGGGTTGCAGTCTCCCCGCCTGCTGCAGCTATTCGAGCACATCGACAGTACACGTGACGGCAACAGGACGGCTAGGAAAAGAGGAGCATGTAGATGTGTTCGCCACATGGGAACCCGGTGCAGCGAGGTCGTGGCCATAGCTCAAGAAGGGCCGCTTGCCCTCGCTCTCTCTTGTCCACGCTGCCCTTGCCAGACTACACTAGGTGAATAGGTGCGTCGCGCAAATTCCCCGCACGTCCACGGAACGTGAGACTGTTGACAGTTTCGCTGCCAACCGGTATATTCTACAACTTTCCGCTTGAACCGGTACGCTACTATCGTGGACGCTACAGCAGTAGTAGAGCGCTAGTGTACAATGCTCAGCTCGCACTTCCACAGTACAAGGCACCGTCACCAGGGTACATTTGTTCTCGACGTGTTGGCGTTTCAAAGACTCTCTCATGCAGCTCATGTTGCCTGTGTGTTGAAATTCGTTCCGAATCCTGTTGCTTGGCAGCTTGGTGGAGTATGAGCCTACCGAACGGGCCTGGAGACAAGAAACGTCAAACTCGGGCCGACGCTCGGTTCCTTTTTTCGTCGCCACTCAAGCACAGGTTGCTGTAAGAGTTTTGTCTAAGATCCACCGCTGAGGTGTGTTTCTCCAACCCCTTTTATTCTTGCATTTCACGAAAAATTGAAAACAGTCGAGAGGTCCGCCGGTGTCCTCGAGTTTTCCTCCTTTCAACTTGCTCCACAGGGAGAATTTTCCAACAACTTAAGACTACTGCAGCACAGTTTACGGCTACTCGCCATATCGTGTCACCGATACGGACAACAGGCTTGGATGACAAAAGGGAAATGTGACTACACTGAAGCTGCTGAACATTGACGTCGTGTGTTCATTGTAATTAATTTCGTTCATATCCTGTCTCGTTAACCACAGAAAGTGCTCCTACTTGTTCGCTGGTGTAGCCGAGCAGTCCCAAAGGGCACTTGAGGGTTCGTGACCAGGAATCGGGGCCAAGCAAGAGTAGCGTCATCAGACCAGGGCATGTAGAAATAGTTCTCCACAGCCAGTTGTTCACCTGACGCTATGCGACCCGAAACAAGGCAGCTTCCCTTGACACCATCGCAGGTATGCGGTCATCTACCCGCGTTAATACTACGCAACTCATGTTGGCACCCACACCTTCTCCATCAAAAGGTAACTAAGCTCGTATTTCAAGCGAGAGCTGGTCGTTGTTTAATTGGGAGCGGGCTCAAAAATGCCCGAGACATCCGCATTCGCTAATAAACAGTTGTCAGGAGTACCCGAAACGCGTGTCCTTGGACTCGCAGAATTCGAAAAAGCAGGTCACCGGCCTATACGCAACGTTTAGAACAACTAATCAATACAGTACTCCGGACCGCAAACTGGTTGATAAAATATCCATTCATTTTCCCACCCGTGGACGGGAAATATCAAACACAGAGCCCAGCCGACCATAAGTGTTTCCCCCGAGGCGTGACATAGGCATCAATCCCTCGTGGTTGACCGTCGGTTTGCCCTCCCCGGCGCCGTTCTCTTTCAGCAGGTGCGTAAACACGTGGAACATAACCACTTCGCCGAATACAACTGTGGTTGTGACGTCGCCCTTGCTGTTGACGATGTCATACGTGTGTCGCACCTGTGGAAGAGCAGCGATCGTGACGTCATGTTGGAAACAACATCCCACATACATATGCATTATCCATCGAGGGTGCGAATCAAAAACAAGCTGACGGAGGTGGAGAATACCGGACAAGATTCACCCCATCATGGCTAAATATCAACACCAACAGCCCCTCATGCCCTTGGCAGCAAACCGCATAGAACAACCACAAGCACAGAACCCTAAGCGTACTCTGCTGCTGCTGTACTTGCCCCTCAACAATGTGCACTATGAGCGCTGCAGGCCTTCGCCTCGTTGTTACGCCAGAAATGAGGCTCTAGTTAGTGCCTCGTAGGTACCCATCACAAACGCTTGGAACTACAGTAAGCAATACCTTCCCAACAAGCAGCCCCCCTCTGTCAAACCTCTCGAATACCTTGCACTCCATGTTCACAGCTGACTCCTTGATGCGGGGGGGCGCCACGATCGTCGACTTGATTGGTGTCAGGCCAGCCACGTCCATCTCGTCGACCTCGGGGGGAAAACTACCGCACGTGTGGTTCGCAGCTTCCACAAACCAATCGCTCATGATGCTCACGACGAATTCACTGTAACAGCAACAACAAAAAATGTGATACATGCAAAGGTCAAGACATGCCACGGACCAGCACCATGATTGCACCTGTACCTAGATCGGACGCAGTGGCGTGTCGAGCAAAATATATGTCAAAATGTTGTCGCTGCGGTTGGGGAATGTGCACTCAAGATGCTCGTTGCAATCCGGTCAAAATGTTAGCATCGTGTCTCCACGAGTTTGTACAGAATGCGGTCACCACCTCTTCGCTATCCTACTCACAAATGTCTATACACTACTGAAAACATGTCTCACCCGCTTGCGAGCATGTTCACCAGGGTGTCCTTCTTGCTCCCATTACCATTGCGGCACACAGACACGGCCAGCGTTGGCGGATCGTGACCGACAGTGTTGAAATAGGAGAACGGCGCACAGTTTACGGTACCATCGGGTGCCAGTGTTGATGTCAACGCAATGGGCCTTGGGACCACTTGATGCGCCACCGGCGTGTGAACCAGATTTGAAGAACACGGTGCGGAAAAATAGGCCAGGGGGTGGGTGTAGAAAAAACAAAAATGAGAACGTCGTGGATCCTTATGTGCGCCTTGACAATCCGCCGTGCATATTAGATGCATCACTCTTGTCAGTGCTGAGCAAAAGACGTTTCTAGCTACTCACACAATAATAAACACATCATCATGGCACGAATTCTCCTCTGAAGAATTTCATCCATCGCGCTGCATTTGTTTGCCCGTCATGACGCAGGTTTACCTGAACTTATCATGAGCGAGTAGCAGCTCTTCAAATCGCGCGGGTCTATCCTAACGTGACCTGGATCGAGGGAGCAACGCAACAAGTTGGCGAAGCGGCGGCGGAAAAGGACATTCAACCCCTGTATTCCGTTCCTCCCGTGTGACCCCGGCTGATACGTCAAACATAAACAGTTCTTCGAAGTATACGGAGAGGTAAAGGTATAGACTTAACAGAGGTTTGTGCGCCAGAATAGATGGGACGCAAGCACACACTCAGCGGGGGCGTGAATAACGTATCCACCGCGGGGGCTCAGATACCACACTTGCGGCTTGAAATTACTAGAAGTACAAGTGAACTGGTTCTATGCATTCTATTGTCATCAGTAGGGGACACCATGAAGAGGCGTCCTGTGTGCTGGCACATTCAGGTTTGCTACTGGAGGAGCTGAAACATCGAAGGTCGCAGCAGCCTCTGAAAACAGTCCGAAACCTGCGCCCGAACCCAACATTTGTCACAGCCCTGCTCATCGCCACGGACCGTAAACCCGTGAACGGCGGGTCGCCAGCATTAGCTAGTCCAGTTATACGCAGTTCAGGAAATTGGGGTCAGTGGCGGCGAGCACAAGCAGTACAAGACACGGGTGTCGGGTCTAGTTTGCAGAGATTTGCGGAGGGTGTAAGCCGCTACTATTGCCCTGGATACCACCGCCCAACAAGCAGATTTGGACGCGCTAACACACACCCCGCAGCAACAGGGTGTCGTCCTCTACATGGTGATATTTGCTACAACCTCATGGGCAAACCGGTCTTGGTTGAGCGCCTGCCCTTTCCTGACTCTTCAACAACTTTGAACTTGAATCTACATGTAGGATCGTGTGACTTTTATCTTGATTTTTAAGGGGGGGTGTGGAGGTAGACGCGTGAAATATATGTTTTGAGCGCAGTCTCTACTGCCGCCCTGTGCGAGAATCAGTCTTTCCTGTTTTTCGCGATGCCTTCCGACTGGTCTTGTGTGTCTTGTTCATTTCTGTTGCTCTTCCGTTCAAATGTTATGTTCCACTGCTGAAGTGTGCATATTGCGGTCTTTTCAAAATTACTGCTGTGCAAATACAGAAGACAGCCATCAATATATTGCTGCTGGGAAGAATTGATTTCATGTGAAGTCAATGCACACCAGCAAACCTGTATCTTCTCCTCCTGGTGGAGGTTGTTTGTCTCCAGGAATCCATGACGGATGCGTGGAGAGGTTGCTCCGATCCAGTGTTTTTCTCCTACTACGACGGCTCGATAGCAAGTATCCCACCCCCATGCCGACGCCACAGCCCAAAACCACCCACCCTGAACTTGCCTGCGGTACTCTCATGTACATCCTGGAAGGAGCCGAACTTTTCATTCCTGTGTTTTTTCCTTCTCTCGCACGCAGGGTGTAATACCCGGGTGCGTGTGCTAATGAAATCCCTTCGGGACACACGAGACAAAGTCTGCACTGCAGCGTCCGCGGTGGCCCCGCCACATGCAACACTCACATCAGTTTCCATGCCCCCTCGTGGACAGTAGCAAGCGCGAGACCCACCCGCCCCACAAACCAAACCAGACAGAGTTGCGCCGCACACACAGATGCGAGTCCGTCCTGGTCTGATGAACAGCCTCTACTCTTTGTTCGCCAGCAGTAAGAAGGGAATGGTATCGATGAATGCCAGGGGTGCAGGTGCGGTGTAGGTATTAATAGCTAGGAAGAGGGCGGTTTGTCGTACCGCGGCAGCGTTTTTTAATTTTGGCCTGCTGTAAAGCCGGTCCCAAACGCAGACAAGTCCAATGTACTCATAAAGCAGTACAATAACCATTGGAACAATTGCGGTGTCGTCGTTTGTTCTCACCGCCAGGGAGCAGTCAAAGGCGATCTGGGCGCCCAACTCGCCGGCTCTTCAAGCTGAAAGATTCCAGCATGCTAGCTATATCGGGAGGTGGGTTTCTATGCGCGATCAGATCGAAACGCATCTGTCTTCGTCCTAAGCTGTTTGATACCATGTCCTCCATTATCGTACACGCTGTCGACATCATCTAAAAATTAGCTGCTGTATGCATAGAGTAAATGTGCCGATTAAGGACCACTTAACGGAGCCCCCGCTCTGAGAGGTCGTTCTCGGGTGTCTTGACGATTTGTGGCGACAGAGAGGTATCGAACGTTAGCTTATAACACGATCTAAACGATGAAAAAACAAAAAACAAAAAAAGTGCATGTGGTGATGACATGGTGCCAGCGTAGTATTCTTCATTTGTCAGGGGAAAATACCGGTAAAACACAAATGCCCCGATTAAGGACCACTTCGAATTCGTAGTGATTGCGCACGTTCTAATGATTTCCAGAACTTTTCCTCTGGCAAGTATCGTTATGGTAGTTATACAAAGCATTTCCGAAAATAATATTAAAAAAAAAATGCATGCCCGGGGACAAAAACAAGAAATCCCCGTGGTTTTTTGCCTGTTTTTGGGCCAAAAATGGATTACAGTGGACACCACGCTAAGAGTTTTCAAGCGTTTTTTGCCCGTTTTTTCTTCGGCATCGTGGCAAGCACCCCTAAAATAGACACCATGCAAATTTTTGTCGTCATCCGGGTTGATGTAGTCTCTATCTGACATACAGACGCGATTGTTGCCCCCATTTGGACGAAAATCGAGGGGGCAAAATAGAAAAAAAAGGAAAACAAAGCGGGTGAAAAAATGAAATGCACGATCCAAGGTTCGAACCTGCCTCGTACTGGGCTTATGGAGAGCAAGAAAACGCTAGACCACATAGTGACCTACCATTCGAGGAAAACTGCCGATATATAGGTCAATATTATGACCTGGCTTAGCCGGAGCCATCACACAGCACCAAAAACAAAAAATGCATACATCACCTGGCGCAGAAAGGTGTGTAGAACGAAGTCCTCCACCAAATTGAGTAAACTTAGGCTTAAACGAAAGGTGAGGTCCATAGCAACACGAAGAAAAAAACAGAAAGGCTTTCCGCGATGGTATCGGCAAGATATGTTTTTTTGAAAAAAGTGGTCCCTAATAGGGGGGTGGTCCTTAATACCCACACTTACTCTACAACCTTCAAGTTCGTCTAACCTGCTGTGTTATCGCAACAGATGTGAAGACATGTTTTGCAGTGGTAGTGATGTGCACGCTCGTTTCTCAATGGCCCCCTGCCGACACATACTTTTCCTTCGCTTGCAGAGGTGTCTCTGACGGGGAGATCTGCGGGTGATTTTTCGGCGGGTGCTCTTCTCTCTGTGTCGTTCAGTGACGGATTCACCCACCCACACGGGCTGCTTGCACTTCTACCGGGCACACATGTTCTCTGGAGCCCAATATCCAGCTTGGACGGAATATATCGCCCACATATGATGCGAAATCGCTCGCCAAAATGATTTGGTACTCACCCCAAAACCTTTGCTATACTATGCTATCCGTGTTTACCAGAGATGTGTATGGTGCAGTTTCATGGTACGCCTGCATCTACCGGTGTCACACAACGCCGTTCGTTTTTATCATCTGCAAACATTCGTTTCGACTGTGGGTATATCTCGTACGGGTTTTCATTTTGTGAGATCATGTTTACTTCCTCAAAAAAACATTCCGGGACAGAGCATTATTTTTCCGGCCTGGTAGTCTAAGCCGAAGGTTCCGAAATCATCGGCCTAGCGCCTCGAGCGAGCTATTTCCTCATCGCTATGAGAGCCCCACCAGCTACCCCTGGCTTGCAAGGGGCGGTTCCAGAGGCAGGGATTCGGGCATTTACTCGTTCCCATCGGAATCATCGCGCTTGGTGATGTGAGAGCCTGGTCCGGTGAAAACCCGGCGTGCTCCGTCCCGGCTTTGTAGCGATGCGAGGTCAATGGTCTAATGACTACATGTACGGCATGCACGACTATGAGTACATGAGTACACCCATCGGAACCGGCCCGATTTTCTTAGACCCCCAGGCAGGTCACGTTCAAGGTTATTCTATGCTTCCTGCGTGTCTTGAGCACAACAGCATACCAACGTTTGTTGCGAAACGCGAAAGCAAGTACGAGATCTTGGAAAGATAAGCAGCGCAGATGGACTGACATCCCAACATCGCGCATCACCAACCACTTAAACTTAGCACGCACAGTCCCTGGGACACCGCTGTCTTCTATCGTTTTCTCGCGGCATTCCGCTTCCACTCTCCCTCCTAGAAACCGGCGTTGATTGGTGGCACTGCTTGCAAATAGAGGTAGCACTGCTGTGCACAGATTGAAAAGTGCTTCCCGCCAGGGTGCCGACGTTTGCAAAGGAACTCGAAGATCTCGAAGATGGCCTTCTCAATGTCCATGTCGTCTTCCGACCGCGGGATGATTGCACAACAACCGGATGGGTCTACACCGTTAGAGGGATCCACGCACAATGCCTTGTCTTTCGCGTCAGAACTTTTGGCGCTGTTAACTAAGTGTTATTTCACGAACACATTGTCTGGCGCTCTCACAGAGGCAACAGCACTCACAGAGGAGTTCTGTGCGTCGATATATCTCCCCTGTCGCCAAATGTAGAAGCCTTTGTTTGAGAAAAGCCCGTGATAAATACCTGTCGAAAGTACGGGGTCGGCGAAACAGTATGGGATATGCCGTGTGCATGCGCGGATGCTTTCGCGAATGTCGTCGAAGATACAAAGCTCTATTTTAGTATTGGCGTTTCGCTCGGTTCCGTGGATCTCCCTTTCGCGTACCATTACTATACATGCAACACCTGCGATTTGTCGTGAATGTTCACCAAGGTCGCCTTTTTCCACGCATCTTGTACAGGCGACCTAACGAAGTGGAAAGGCGATGCCATTGTGAACGCTGCAAACGAATGGGTGAGTTTAACCCTCCTAGTACTGGAAGCCCAAATGTGGACACTTCGGGGACACAGCACTCAAATTGCCTATTTTCCGCACTGTATTCACCCTGGGCTCCGCTGTGTGCAACGCATGTGAGAACCCTTGGTCTATCGTGCTTGGCTGAGGTGGCGCGCTGTGTGGTATTCTGTGTGATGCCTTTCCTGCGACTCTGACTTGCTGTACACATCCCCCAACCCGCATGCCCCCTAGGTCGTATAACTGTATATCGCCTGGTCGTGGAAAACTTGCTGACTTGGCTTCAGTATAAATAGTATCCCCACGTGCTTTTTGGGGACACTTTTAATACTGAAGCCAAGTCACCTTTGTCTAGCAAGTAGCTCAGATTTGGAGGGACGGCAGCCCCTCGACCAATGGCTGACAAACATTTTGGGGGATTTTGTTTTTACGGAGGGACTGCGTAGTAGGAGGGTCAAACTTGCTCTGTTGCCCGTGAAAGATATTGGAAAACTGCTGTGCTGAGAACCTGAAGCCCGCTGCGGCCAGATCGGGGTTCCGGGACACATGTGTCTCCGACATGTGCACACCATTCGTAGTTGGCACAGTTAGGGGTGTCAAAGCGGCGGAATTTGGGGCCAAAAAAACGCCCGGTCCATTGGGCAAAATTTGAGGGGGGCACGCGGATTTGGTTCTTTTTTTGGTTCTTGAGAATCCCGCTGTTAATACTGAATAAACTATACATGAAGTCAATTTGTTTGTGCAGGCATGCATTACACACACCTGGACACAGGTCCAATAGAGGTAACTGTAGGGTAGGTTTTCTCTTAAAGTTAAAGGGCGGACGAACAACACCAAAAAACATGTTTTTTGGGGCTCTTTGCTCCACGCCCAAGGCAACCTTTGCTCCTCTCGTGAAAGCGAGCATACAGCCCTCTACCTTGGGCTTACAGCCATACCACACAACAAACCGCATCCGAATCGCATCAGCCAACCACGAGATCTACATGACGGCCCCTCCAGTGGGGCTGAAGCGCCCACACAAGCAAACACTCCCAAAAAAAAAATCGAGTTCCGCGCCGTTCGGCAGCAGGAGGCGCGCTGCGCGAAAGCTGAATCAAAACAAAACGAAGTTTGAAGAGAGGACGAGGCAGTGTATGGTTGCCGCGTCAGCAGAAGATAACATGCGGCGCGCTTTGNCTGTTTTTTTCAGCAGCAGCAGCGGCGGCGGCAGGTGTCTGCGTGGCTTCACCGCCCGGCTGCTGCTCGGGTGTGTCATGAGGCATGTGTTCTAGAGTGGGACCGCGCAATGGTGTTGTGCTGTGCCCCATAGCAGGGCGCAAAGCACACAGGCGAGCCGCGCCTTCGCGCGTGTGCGTCAGAGGGTCTTTCGGGAGGTTCCGACGGTTCCGTGCAATTTCATTGATTGGTTGATTTTCCACCAGCAAGATCCGAGGACGCTTTTTCGAATTTCTTCCTATAGGAAATTTTCCGCTTTGACACCCCTAACAGTAGTGCAGAGTCTCCAGGCCTAACCAAAAATATTCGCCAAGGTGCTGGCTACAACTTCTTGACTTGGGATCAAGTCAACGTTGTGATGTACTTACCACCCCTGCTGTGCCACGGGACGCAGATG